CCTCCCTGGGCAACCTGTGCCAGTGTCTCACCACCCTCACAGGGAAAACGTCTGCCTAAGATCTCATCTAAATTTCCCTCGCAGGGGACGAGAAGGACCCAGCAAGGGGCAGGCAGAGCACCAAGCCCCACAGCTCAGCTCCCAGGGCCCAGGCCAGGACTGAGCCCCTCACACCTACATGTGCACGGGTGGCACTGCCAGGAGGAGCCTTGTCACAACAGTGAGGGTGTAACTTATTTCATCCCAGGCGATTGCCAGCAGTGCTCAGCCCAATGCCCTGACTTTGAAATGAAACCTTCAGCTCCACAAAGTGCACTGCGGCTTTGGTCTCAGGAGAGTAACTGCATGAAAACGGGGAACTGTTTTGAATACAGAGCATAGTGAAGGTCAGAAGAAGCTCCCTGAGGACAGAATTTATCAGGCACTTGTGCCACTAAAACTGCCTAACTCCCCTGGCAGACACATCCCAAACCAGACAAGCCATCCCAGCAGCACGTGAACACAACAGACAAAGGGATTTCCCCACACTTCCAGCAATTCAGCAACACACACACTCCTCAGTCAAAAGGTTTTGGCATCTTTGAGCTGTTTGCTCAAAATTTAACATCACTTTGAGCAGACTTTAAATACAGACAAATATTTGCTATTAAGGGACATGCAAAGATACTTCTGTCCTCAGTATCTGGGAAGGAGAGATAATGCTGAGGTGCAATTCCCTTCATTCCTGAGGTACATAATTCTTATTCCTGAGGGAAATTATCTTCAGTCCTAAGGTAAATGATCTTTATTCCTGAGGTGCTTTATCCAACTACTCACAAACACAAGTGCTTCACACCAGCTTTGTGGCTGCTCACAGTGATGTCCCTCTGACCCAACACCTACTTGACACCAAGTCACTGCCTGTCCTGAGCTTGAACAAGAAAACAGCAACCAAAGCAAACCAAACATAGGGAACAAACCAGAACCTTCAGCACCCCAGACAGTAACTTCCCCCTGCAGGTGAATGCTGCTAGTCCAGCCAGCCCCCAAAAAATGCTTAAAAGGTGTTCCTAAGGGATGATAGTAAAGACTTCAGGTTGTTTAAGTGGAGTTTGGGTCTTTTTCCAGAGCAGAGCCTCAAGCTGAGACTGCTGCTCCCCAGCAGTGTACTGAACAACACTCAGACATTCATTTTAAATAGCCTGATCAGCATAAAGACAGGAACCATGGGGTTTCTCTGGTACAAAATGGTGTCCCCACCTTCAATGTCATTCTCTGGTCCCTCAGGCCCTGCAGGATGGTGGTGCCACTGCCAATAAGCTCATCCATGCCACGATGGGCGTTCTGCAGGGACTCGTTATACTGCAAGGTCTCGTCCATTGGGATGGAGGTGTCAGAGTCCTGTGGGGAGAGGCAGGGATGAGGCTTGGGACCTGTCACCCACACGCAACATGCACAAACCACCCTGCCACAACGCAGCAGGGCCTGAGCATTAGGTTGAAAACATCTGTTCATAAAG